GGACAGATAAGTCCAGACTCGGGTTGGAGAGCGTCTGAGCAGGGTCCATCGCATCGATTGAGTGTTCCTATATGCAGGCTCTGTGCTAGGCAAAGAGAAGGGATACACAGGCCACGGCTAGGAAGAGCCTCAGATTAGTCATGGGGAAAAGATCAATATAGCAGCATCTGAAACCCAGGATAGGCTATGAGAAGTGTTACTGCTTCAGGGATTGTGATGAATTTGGGAAGCTGGGAAGGGCTTCATGGTGGGCATAGCATTTGAATGGGCCTTCGAGGCTGGTAGGAGTTGAGTTGGGGAGGAGGCACAGAGGAGTTGGTGCTCTGTGCTCTGATCAGAGCATAAATGTACTATGGACAGAACTTTCTCCTTTCTGGATAGGAAGTCCAACATCTGCTGGGAGCCAGTCCATCGCTACCTACTGTCCAGTCCCTCCTTCCCCTCTAGCTAAGGGCCCCAGAATGGTAGCTGATGCTCCATACTCCGATTTCTTCATGCTTTGGGGGAGGAGGGAACTGACTGAGTCTGGGAGAAGGGGCCTCCATTTGTGTGTTCCTCGCCACAAATTCAGCACATGGTTGTCTTGGGAAAATTTTGAAATATAGAAAAGTGCATGTCTCTAATACTGGGGAGGTGAGGTGAGAGATGGGTGGGTGTTCCCAGAGATGAGGTGGTTTTAGTTTTTGTTTTTAATCATCAGAAAGAGATGGTAAAGCAAGCTACGAGTCAACCGATTTGGTAGAATCCAGGCAGAGCCGTTAGGAATCTGCTGCAATTGTCCAGGCTCGAAATGATGAACTTGAATTGTACATGAGAATAGGACCAGAGGTGGCCGCACAAGACACCCCTGAAGTTAAATGAGTCGCGCTGGGATGTGGAGGGGAAGGGAGGATGCAGAGGCCCTGATGGGCTGTTCAGAGGAGGCAACCAGCAGGCGGCTGGAGAGAGGTTGGTTCAGCCGTGGTAGTTGCAGCCCTGGGATTGGACCAAGTTGCTGAGGAAAAGATAGCTAGAGAGAAAAAGAGACAGCTAAGATCAGAAGCGTAAGAAAGAAAATGAAGACCGAGAAAGTCGTTGGATTTGGCAAATAGGAGGTCATTGGTGATTCTTAACAGCGCAGTTTCACGAGAGTTATGGAGACGGAAACCACAAAGTGCAGGAACTTGGAAATGGAGGAAGAGGATGTAGATTGCTTCTTCAGTGAGTTTACTAAGAAAGGGAAAGTAAAAGGGTGATATTTTAAAGGTGTTGAGGAAGTTTGTAGGCTGAGGGGAGGAGTAAGTGGGGAGAGAAATGAAAGGCATGAAAACCCGTTGCTGATAAGTCAATTCTGACTCATAGGAACCCTATAGGACAGGGTAGAACTGCTCCTTTGGGTTTTCTAGGCTGTAATCTTTATGTTTACCTGTGTTTTATTGATTATGCAAAGACATTTAACTGTGTGGATCATAACAAATTATGGATAACATTGCGACGCATGGGAATTCCAGAACACTTAATGGTGCTCATGTGGAACCTGTACACAAACCAATAGCAGTCATTCAGATGGAACAAGGGGATACTGCGTGGTTTGAAATCAGGAAAGGTGTGCATCAGGGTTGTATCCTTTCACCATACTTACTCATTCTGTATGCTGAGCAAATAATCAGAGAAGCTGGAATATATAAACAAGAACAGGGCATCAGACTGGAGAAAGACTTATTAATAACCTATGTTATGCAGGTGACACAACCTTGCTTGCGGAAAATGAAGACGACTTGAACACTTACTGATGAAGATCAAAGACTACAGCTTTCAGTATGGATTACACCTCAACATAAAGAAAACAAAAATTCTCACGACTGGACCAATAAGCAACATCATGATAAATGGAGAAAACACTGAAGTTGTCAAGGATTTCATTTTACTTGGATCCACAATAAATGCCCATGGAAGCAGCAGTCAGGAAATCAGATGACATATTGACTTGGGATAATCTGCTGCAAAGGACCTCTTTAAAGTGTCAAAAAGCAAAGATGTCGCTTTGAAGCTAAGGTGAGCCTGATCCAAGCCATGTTATTTTCAGTGGTTTCACATGCATGGGAAAGTTGGACAATGAATAAGGAAGATCGGAGAAGAATTGATACCTTTAATTATGGTATTGGCAGAAAATATTGAATATGCCACGGACTGCCAGAAGAATGAACAAATCTGTGTTGGAAGAAGTATAGCCAGAGTGCTCCTTGGAAGCAAGGATGGCGAGATATTGTCTCACATACTTTGGACGTGTTATCAGGAGGGACCCGTCCCTGGAGAAGAACGTCATGCTTGGTAAGGTAGAGGGTCAGCAAAAATGAGGAAGACACTTGACGAGATGGATTGACACAGTAGCTATAACAATGGGCTCAAACATAGCAACAATTGTGAGGATGGCGCAGGACCGGGCAGTGTTTCATTCTGTTGTACATAGGGTTGCTATGGTTTGGAACCAACTCGACGGCACCTAACAACAACAACAACAATCTTTATGGAAGCAGACTGCCACATCCTTTCTCCTGCAGAGTGGCTAGTGGGTTTGAACCACCGACCTTTTGGTTAGCAGCCAAGCGTTTAACCACTGTGCCACCAGGGCTCCTTTGAAGGCATGAGGGAGGAGAGAATTCTGGAAGGAGGAAGGACACGTGTTCCTCACAGAGAAGCAGGGAGGAGGGTGGGGAGGGTGCAGAGACGGTAGATTTTGGGCCAGGAAGGAGTGTGGCCTTGGGAGCTCTTGTCAGATGGCCTTGGTCATGTCCATCAAATAGGAGCTGGGCCTTCATCTGAGAGTGACAGAGGTCATGGATCTGGGAGCTTGGAGAGTAAGGCTTTGAGCAGTTTTGTGGGAAACCCTATGGAGTCCTTGGGTGAGGAATAATCTGGTGCTGCTGGGCCTCAGCTGGAGGAAGCTTTAATTAGTTGTGTGACTAGTCATTGTAATTACAGAAGAAAAGAGCATTTCCGGGAACCCTAGCAACTTAATATCAGGGCGTGGAGAAAGCAGGAGTAGGGTCTTATCCAAGGGCAAGGTGAGGGTGAGGGAAGCTGGGCAGTGAGTGCTCCATGGAAATAGCTGACTGAACTGGGAGAGAATGCAGAGGATGCCAGCAGGGGTGGCCTTCTCGGGTGGGAGGGCTCGTGGGACCAGAAGTCACGGTGAGAACCCAGGAGGTGCAGAGGGAATGAGAGGAAGGGGCTGTAAAAGAGCAGGGGTTGGGCCAGAGGAAGGAATTTCATGGTTGAGATCTTGAAAAATGCATCATTGTAATAAACTGAGTTCGAGTACAGTTGTTTTGAATTAGAGTTACGTTTCAAGCTTGAAGTCAGTGACCCAGCAATCTCTCCCAGATCTGTTGTTGTTGTGTGCCTTTGAGTCAATTCTGACTCATAGTGACCCTGTGTAACAGAGTAGAACTGCCCCCGAGGGTTTCCTAGGTTGTAATCTTTTTTTTTTTTTTTTATTGCTGTAGTTTAAATGAAGTTTACATTACAAGTTAGTCTCCCATACAAAGATTTATACATTGTTACGTGGCTCTAATTGCTCTCCCCATACTGTGACAGCGCACTCCTTCTTTCCTCCCCTGATTCCCCATGTCCATTCAACCAGCTCCTAACCCTCTCTGCCTTCCCATCTCACCTCCGGACAGAAGCTGCCCATTTAGTCTCTTGTATCTACTTGAGCTAAGAGGCACACTCCTCACGAGTATCACTTTATGCCCCACAGTCCAGTCTAATCCCTATCTGAAGAGTTAGCCTCAGAAATTGTTTTAGCTCTGGGCTGATAGAGAATCTGGGGGCCGTGCTTTCCAGAGTTCCTCCTGTCTCATTCAGACTCCTAGGCTGTAATCTTTATGGGAGCAGATCACTGGGTCTTTTCTCCTGCGGAGCCATTGGATGGGTTCAAACAACCAAGCTGTCAGTTAGCAGCCAAGCACTTAACCGTTGTGCCACCGGGGCTGCTTTCCCAGGTCTGTACCCAAAAGAAGTGAAAACGTATGTCCACACAAAAACTTACATATGAATGTTTATAACAGCTTTTATTCATAATAGCCAAAAAGTGGAAACAGCCTCAATGCCCGTCAACAGATAAATGGATAAATGAATGTGGTCTGTCCATACAATGGAATGTCACTCAGCTATTTCTAAAAGGGAATGAAGTGCTGATTCATGCCACATCATGGGTGAATCTTGAAAACATTATGCTGAGTGAAAGACGGCAGACACCAAAGGCCGTGTATCCTACAGTCTCTTTCAGAATAAATAAATCTACTGAGACAGAGAGTAGAATAGAGATTGCCAGGGGCTGGGGTGGGGAGGGAATAGGGAGTGATGAAATGGAATTCGATAACAGAGATGGTTGTGCAACCTGGTGAACATACTGGGAACCACTGAAGCGAACACTTTAAAAGGGCGGATTTTACAGAATGTGAACTATATCCCACTTAAAAAAACAACCTGAGTCAGTGGTAGGGGAAGGTCAACAAGGAACCGTGGCAGGGATTGGGGAGGAGGAATGGGGATTGATTCATGTGCTCAGAGATCTTGGAAACGTGGAAGTTTCCTTGAGGTCCGTATTGTGTTCATCATTGTACCAGGTGCCCCAGAAACGACACTGTTCTCAGGAAGCTGCAGTGTAGTTGAGCAAAGAGCTAACATCTATGACGCAGCTTTGAGCAATACAAAAGGTTGGGGTGAGGATAGCCAAGATGGAGAATCCAACTGATCACCGGAGACGTTTTTGAAGAGGCAATAGCACATGAGGACATTGTAGTAGCCCGAGTGTTAATGCTGGCCTCTCCAGCATCCGTCTTCCCAGCGTACCTCCTTAGGACTAGGTGTGGTTCTGCCTTCTTACCTGCTTCCCAGCTGAAGTCCCGCTTCTGGCCACAGTGGTTTTGCTATCACCCAGAGTCATCCTTGGGCACTGCCAAGGGGAGAAAGTTCATTCATTTCTGGGTCTGAGTGTCACTTAACATTGGTTCCAGGTTGGGCTGGTGTACATGTTCAACCTCATCGTGGGCACGGGCGCACTCACCATGCCCAAGGCCTTTGCCGCTGCTGGTTGGCTCGTCAGCCTCGTCCTGCTGGTGTTCCTGGGCTTCATGAGGTAAGAGGTCATGGGAGGCTAACTGATGGGGGCTAGGAGGGAAGCTAGCGGAGTCGCCAGGGCATTTGAACTTCTCATAGTTGACATGCAGGTGCTTGCAGGCTGAGGCAAGCTTGTGGTGAGTCCTAAACTCAGTTGCCTGGAGAGGAAAGGTAGACCCAAAGGTTCCCCGGCGTCTCGTGCTGGTGGAGCAGCTGTGCAATCCAGATCGGTTAAACAGGAGGCCTGGGCTTTGGAATGTTCCACATGGTGCTCACGTGTTTCTTCCCCAGCAGAGTTGCCTCCCCTGTGTTACACGTTCTTAATGTCACCATCGGTTTCTGTGCTCTGAGAAAATACCAGCGAGCCTCAGAGAAAGACCCTGTCCACGTTTAAGGTGATATGGGCCGCCGTTTTGGAAGTTAGAATTTACTTAAGGTAGTTCACAAAGTAAGTGATAAGTGTATACACATGCGCATACACACACACACACACACACACACACACACACACACACACAC